GGCTTAACCCAATCGCTAAACCATACATTTTGTTTCCTTCCATTCTCTCTTTTTTTTTCAATTGTTTCAGTCAATTACTATCGTTTAAAGTTCGATTTCATTGCTTATGAACATTTGTTTTAAGATTGTAATCGTATACATATTACATAATCAAGGTCAATGGGTCCAAACCAAATCGACCAAGAAATTAAAACCTAAAACAAACCGATTTAGAAAACCGAATTTGACTTTAGCAATAAATTTGTTTGTTACGAAACCCTATTCCTCACTGGCGTTTTATGGCAGAGGAAGAATCTGTAGAAATCGGAGAAAGCGAAGAAGAAGCTGCAGAGCTCGGCGATTTCTTCTGCAGCCATCGCCGGATTTCTGATCGGTTCAATTGTAGATCGCGATGGGTAAGGGACATTTGTCGTTTCGCCGTCTTTCGAGCATCCGTCACCGGAAAAAGGGTTCTGCGGTGAAGGATGAAGCTCAGACATCGATGGTTTTATCTCCACCGGCTCCGACGCCGATCAATTCAGGCGGACCGATTGTGGGAGTGACCGGTAAGGCGAAGAAGAAAACCGGTGGAGCTAGACTGTGGATGAGGTTTGATCGGACTGGTGCTATGGAAGTTGTGGAATGCGATAAGAGCACCATCATCAAACGTGCTTCTGTTCCAGCTAGGGATTTGAGGATTCTTGGACCTGTTTTCTCTCACTCTTCTAACATTCTAGGTAAAACAAATTTTGACTTGTTTTCTTCAATTGAGATTTTCCAGGACTTGCCAATTTTGGATTTGTTTAGCTGACATGGTTGGAGATTTGTGTTTTCTGAGGTTCTAAGCTTTGTGTTTTTGCTGACTACATTCTATTGTGATCAATCCATGTTTTGCTCTGCAGCGAGAGAGAAAGCTATTGTTGTCAATTTAGAGGTCATAAAGGCGATAGTTACCGCAGAAGAAGTGCTGATCTTGGATCCTCTCCGACCTGAAGTTCTTCCGTTGATTGAGCGGCTAAAGCAACAGTTTCCTCTGAGGAATGGGACAGAAAATGCTTCTGCAAATGTACAATCTCCTCTTGATCCTGAAGGCGCAGAGGGTTTGCAGAGCGAGCTTCCTTTTGAATTTCAGGTTCTGGAGATTGCGCTCGAGGTTGTTTGCTCGATTGTTGATACTAGTGTGGCAGCACTTGAGACAGAAGCTTGGCCTATCCTTGATGAACTCACCAAGCATGTTAGCACCGAGAATCTTGAATACGTACGAAGTTTGAAAAGTAATCTCACCCGCTTGCTAGCCCGTGTACAAAAGGTAAAGAAAAATTGACTAAATTAATGCCTTTTCCCATGATACTGTAATGTCTTGTGGTGTTACATGATTCAGGTGAGAGATGAACTCGAACATTTGTTAGATGACAACGAAGACATGGCAGACTTATATTTGACAAGGAAATGGATCCAGAACCAGCAAACCGAGGCAATACTTGCGGGGACAGCATCAAACAGCATTGTAGCCTTACCGCATAATACATCAAATCTCCACCGGCTCGCATCAAACAGAAGCGCCAGTATGTTGACGAGCAATGCGGATGAAGACGACGTGGAGGATCTGGAGATGTTGCTGGAGGCATACTTCATGCAACTGGAGGGAATGCGGAACAAAATTCTAACGGTCAGGGAATACATTGACGACACGGAAGACTACGTGAACATACAACTAGACAATCAACGTAACGAGCTGATCCAGCTGCAGCTGATACTGACCATAGCCTCGTTTGCAATAGCTGCAGAGACATTGTTGGCCAGCTTGTTCGGAATGAACATACCATGTCCATTGTATGAGATGGATGGCATCTTTGGCTACTTTGTGTGGAGTATTACTGCGTTTTGCCTTCTGCTTTTCCTGGTCATCCTCGGTTACGCCAGGTGGAAGAAGCTGCTTGGCACATAATCTCTCTCTCTCTCGCTGCTTGGCTCATAAACTCTCTCTCTAAACCATGTGACACTTATGTAATCAAAACCCATTAGACATGTTTAACACTAGTAGAGTTGAGCATAAGAAGTGGTTTTGGTATTGATTTTGGATTTTAAAACCGGTCCAATCAAACCAATGTATAAGTAAACCGAATGTCTTTGTTGCGCAAAACCCTAAAAATTCGCTTCATTCCAAAGTCACCTAGTTAAGGTTGTTTTTTTTTTGGCAGCCAATTACACGGAGTCAAAAGGTCTCGTGTGACCGTCTCCCTCGTATCCAAACTAGAAAAAGCTCTGCTAGAGGTTTGTTGTACTTGTACAAAACTTCTCTGTCGATTTCACGTCTATTCCGAGGTATGTGCCCAAGTTAAACTCGTCTCTTTTGCTTCCCTTGTGTGGTACTTTTGGTTGAAATTTTCATTCTTAATTTGATTTTGTGTTCTGATATTCGTTTGGAAGTTTTCTAATCTCTTTAGCAACTAATTCAGCGTATATGTCTCTACTTGGAAACTGTATATGTTTCCAGAGAATGTGACCTTTCCTCTGTTTATAGATTTTGTAGTAGGTGATACTTTGTGGTCGAAAAATGCCATTTGAGCAAAAGGATAAATATAATCAACAGTCTACCTGATGATATTCTTTGCCACATTGTATCTTTCCTTTCGGCAAAGGAGGCTGCTTTCGCGTACCTTCTCTCAAAGAGGTGGCGAAATCTCTATACCATCATACAAAAGGTCGAGTTTGATGACAGAATTGAGAATCAAGGGAGTTTGATGGATTTCTTGGATGGAGTGGTTGCTCTGCCTCCCGGTTCCGGCATAAGGAAATTCTCCTTAACATGTCAAAAGGGAGTTGATCCAACTCAGTATGCTCAAGTGAACCGGCGTCTCTGTAATGTGTTGAAGAAGCGTGGTGTCTTGGAGCTTAAACTGGACATAAATGCTAAAAATGGATATTCACTGCCTTTTGGGGTCTTCACTTGCAAGACGGTGGCTAAGCTGGACCTAGGGACTGACTCTGCATTGGATCTTGTCTCTGAGAATGCCTTTCTTCCGGTGCTTAGGACTCTCGTTCTTAATTCACATGAATCTATTAATGCGCTTCGAAACTTTTTTTCGGCTTTCCCTTTGCTTCTCTGATGCATTTGCATGTCTTCTTCTCCAAACTGAAAGCTTGGGTCTCTCTCTACCTCTCATATCTTCGCTTGTATGGCCATAGAAACCAGCGATTCAGCTCCCCCAACTCTCTCTCTCACTGGATTCACTGAAATCCCTAAAATTTGGTTCTTGGATTAAGCGTTTGTAACGAGGTAGATTCCAAAGTTTACTAATTTCTTCTGCTTCATACTGATTCTATTCTCTTTTTGGGTGTCTTAGTTCAAAGTTTCTTTTTTTTGGTGGCTTCCTATTAACTGTGTTTTCCTCTGTTCTCATTTCTCTTCTCTTTGGGGGAAAATTGTTACATTTCATCATTGAATCAACTGTTTTAGCTTCTTGATGTCTACATATTTCACTCCACTTTACTACCGAACATTACTCTGTTTGTAGATCTTACACAGTGGAACTGTTTGGTAACTATGTATGGATGCTTTTCTAATTGCTTTGAGGTGTAGGTTGTTAATTAATATACCTCTTCTTTTGTGTAGTAGACAAGATGGATCGTGTAAGCAGTCTACCAGACGAGGTTCTTTGTCATATCCTGTCTTTCCTTACGACAAAGGAGGCTGCTTTGACATCGGTACTCTCAACGAGGTGGCGCAATCTGTTTGCACTTGTCTCTAAGCTTGATCTCGATGACTCTGTCTTTCTTCATCCGGAAGAGGGTAAACGGGAAAGGGTCGGGATTCTAGATAGCTTCATGGATTTTGTGGATAGGGTATTGTCATTGCAGGGAAATTCTCCCATTGATAAAGTCTCACTCAAGTGTAAAACTGGTGTTGATTCAGATAGTCTGGATTTTTGGATAGCTAATGTGTTGGCGCGTGGTGTTTCCGACCTTGATCTATGTATCGTTTTCGGAGATAGATATTGGCTGTCTCCAGAAGGTTTCGAGAGTAGGAAACTAGTTAAGCTGAAAATAGGAAATGGAATTGATCTTGGTTGGTGGACTGATGGCATTTTCTTACCGGTGCTTAAAACGCTAATTCTTGAGTCCGTTGAATTTTGTTTTGATAAATTTGAGATGCTTCTTCCTGCCTGCCCTGCGCTTGAGGAATTAAATATGTCGAATGTAAAGGGGTTAGATTCGGATGAGACCCTGTCAAGTGCAAGCCTCAAGACCCTGAAAATTAAATCCAGCGTTGGTTCAGGCACTTTTTCGCTTGATACACCAAGTCTTGTTTACTTAGTTTACTCTGATGTTGTTGCGGAAGACTATCCATTAGCTAATTTAATAAATCTATCTGAGGCTCGAATCAACCTTTTAGTAACTGACGATCAAGTCGAACAAGCAAGGGCACTAGATAATGATTTTGCTCTTCGACTTGGTAATGTGGCAAAGCTCATGAATGGGATACGAAATGTTCAGACACTTTTCTTGACTTCTAGTACACTCGAGGTCAGTCTGCTATTTTGTTTTCTCTAGTGATTTATATATTTTGCTGGTCTTGAGGATGTAAAAGAAAACCAGAATTTTGTCTCAATTTCTTGAGTATCACAGTCATAATTGTTTGGTCCCTCTTTTTTAACCCACAAGGGAAGGTCTAATTTTGAAAACATGTAACTGCAAAAAATGTTTAGTTGAGTTTTCTCTTGTTTCAGGTGCTTTCTCTATTTTGTGAATCGATGCCGGTGTTCAACAACCTTAAATCGTTAGGTTTTTATAGTGGCGAGAATCGATGGCAAGCAGTGCCAGCTCTCCTAAAAACTGTCCACATTTAGAAACTCTAAGCATTTTGGTATTAAACACAACTTCTTTGTCAAACATGTAGAAAGATAAAGATCATAGTTTGAATCCCTTATGTCTCCTTTGTGCTTTCAGGGTCTTTTGCACGTTGTGAAAGATACATGCGGGGATGTTTGTGACTGCATTCCTCAGGAGGACAAAGGCCGTTCACTCACATCTTGTTCTGCGTCCCGAAGAGGGTATGGATTTTGTGGATAGGGTTTTAGCATTGCAGTGTAATGCACCCATTGAAGGTTAAAACCGGTGTTGATCCATTTCGCGTGGATCGTTGGATATGTAATATAGTTCAACGCGGTGTTTCTCACCTCGAGCTGTTCTTGGAATTTGGAGAGGATTACTCGCTGGCTTACGAGATATCTGTTAGTAAGACATTGGTTGAGCTGAAAGCAGGATATGAAGTTGATCTTTATTCGTGGGACGACGACATTTCTTTTCCGATGCTAAAGTATCTTGAACTTCACTCTGTTGGGTTTGGTAGAGGTCAGTTTCAGACACTTCTTCCTGGTTGTCCTGTTCTTGAGGAATTAATGTTGGTTAACATGGAGTGGAGAGATAGGAATGAGATTTTGTCAAGTTCAAGTCTTAAGACGCTAAAGATTACTTCCGAGATTGGATGTTTAGGCACTTTTTCATTCGATACACCGAATCTTGTTTACTTAGACTACGGTGATTGTGTCGCGGAGGATTATCCATTAGTTAACTTGGAAAATTTAGTTGAGGTTGCGATCAACCTTATGCTAACTGTAGATCGATTCTACCAAGCAAGAGAAAATGTTTGGAAGCTTATTCATGGCTTACGAAATGTTAAGATACTTCACTTATCCCCTGTTTCTTTCGAGGTGAGTTTTCTACCTCGTTCTCCTTTGTTATACTTTATATAAACAGGTCTCAATTTGTGAACATATATGACAATGTATATTGTTTCAGGTGCTTTCTCTTTGTTGTGAAGCGATACCGGTTTTCGAAAACCTTACACTTTTAAATATAAAGAGTGTCATGAGCCAAGGATGGCAAGCAATGCCACTTCTTCTTAGGAACTGTCCACATTTAGAATCTCATACATTGGGGTATGAAACAACTAACCACTTCTCTTTTGTTTCCCTACTTTTTTGGACTTTGAAATCGCTTATTGTCGCCTTTATGCTCATTTTCAGGGTCTCTTACACGCGGTAACTGATAAATGCGGGGATGTTTGTCACTGCATTGCTAGGAAGAAGAACAATTCGCTCAAGTCTTGTCATGTGAAGAAGATACAGATTAGTGGGTTTAGGGGAACAGTTAGAGAAGTGCATCTCTTGGACTATTTACCAAGTTTGGAGAGGATGGAGATAATTGCCGAAGAGAATGAAGTTACACTGTTCGAAATCCCTAACTGGTTGGAAGTTGTTGAGAATACGCTTATGCATTACAACGAGAAGACGAGTTGCAGTGTCAATTTCATGGTGCACGCTTCCTTGTACAAGTGGTGGACCCAAAGATGAAGTTAGTCGAGCTAGGAAGAGAA